CACCCCAGGCCTTTCCTACCTGGGAAAGAGAAAGAGAGAACCCCGGGCCGGGATCACTGGCCTGGCTCCCTCAGCTTGTCCTGGTACCCAAGCCACCTGAGAGATTTTCTGTTCTAAGACAACCCTTGCTGGGCATAGCTCTGTCACTTTTGGGGAGGGGGCCTGGGGGCTCACCCTTTTGCCCAGCACAAGATGCACCCTCCCTAGCCCTGCCCAAGCTCAGCTAGCTTGGGTCAGTCCCCTTCCCACCTCCCCCAAGAAACCCAACCACCTTGGTAGGGTCTCCATGGGCAGACTCACCATAAGGGCTGGGGGTGGCTCTGCTAGGAGGGGGCCTGGAGCCTGGGCTCAGCTGCCCGGAGGGAATCTGGGGCTCAGGCTCCGACTGGGGTGGGGCGGCCCCGTGGTCTGTGAGGTGCTCAGGGCAGCCTTCTCCAGTGAGCCCAGGGCAGCAACGCCAGGAGAGTTCCGTCACCTTCTTGTAGCCGACCTTGTATTTGGGTCTGAGCACTGTGCGGTACCTGGGCCAGGGATGGGGAGAGGGCAGGGCTCTGTGTCTGTGGGCTGAGGCGCCTGCCTCCTGGCAGGTGACCTTGCCCCTGGCTGGTATTCACGGCCACTCTCAGACACTTGGATACAGTCTAGGTGTCTCCCTGCCTCCACCACACCCCCAGGGGTTTCCTTTCCTGTGCTGAAGGCGACAGGGCTGAGGGATGGAAACAGGCCTTGCCAAGGCTCAGAGATGGGTTAGGGGAGCGCAGGAAAAGGGGAACAAGAATTTAGCCCCAAGGCTCCCAAGGTCACCTGGACACCCTTGAGCTCATACTACCATCAGAAATTTCACTATGGCTTTGGTGGGACCTTGAAGAATTCTGACAAAGGTGTACTGCCCTGGAGCTGGGCAAGCAGCTCCTCTCACTGCCCTGGGGCCACTCTGGGCTCCCATCAGCTCCCCTGTTCTCTCCACTCCTTCCTACCCTACTCTGGAAACTCAGCTCTGGTCATGGAGGCTGGTGACAAGGTACCTCTGATTTTGAGCACAGCAGTGAAGGGCCCAGGTGGAAGGCAGAGCAGGGGCCACTCCCTCACCTGTTCACCCACTGAAGGATGCCTGGGGCATGTGCCCAAGGATCCCGAGTACACAGGCTTGTATTCAGACCTGCATTTGAACCTCTCCAAGTACAGACCTGAGCACCCCACCTATGTGGGATATACCACACATCCTCACTTGGCCCCATCTGGCCAGTCTGAGGCCCCTGGCTGGTATTCAGGGCCACTCTCAGACACTGGATACAGTCTAGAAGACAAATTACTTTTGCTAAGGAATGCTGGCATGGGCCCCTCCCCACCACCTTCCTTTCCTGTGCCGAAGGTGACAGGGCCGAGTGATGAAAGCATGCCCTTCCCATACCCTCACCCTGGCCTGCCTTCTCCACATCACCACAGCCCTCCTTGAGTCTGCCCGGGGCGGGGCCCCTTTGGCATTATTCACTACCAGGGTGACCCCTGCTCTCCCCTGTGCCCCCCACCCCCAACCCTTGCCCCTGCTTCTTCCTTGCCTGGGTGCTGCCTCTCCCCTAGAAACCCTCCCCTGGTGCCCCTGTGGGCTCTGACCAGACCAGCCTGCCCCTGATTCCTCCCTGGCCCCCTCCACCCGGCTGGTGTGGGCTCTAAGAGAGTTGCAGCCCTTGTAGAGCTGGCTGCTGCTCTCAGCTTAAGGCAGGCCTGGGGTATGGGCCCAGAGATCCTGAGTGGGTGGGATGGGGGTGCACTCACGTGACTGTCCCGGGGCACTTGGGCCCCCATCCACACTGCCGGTACTCAGCCTTTATGTAGCTCTCTGCTCCCTCCTGTAGGACACAGGTCACATTCCTGTGCACCACGTAGGCGCAGAGGGCCCTGCAGGGGAGAATGGCATCCTTGGAATATCTGGCCTGGGCCGGGCCACTGAAGCTCCTACACCCCCTCCTCCATCTGTAGCCTCAGCAGGAGATGTGACCCCCATCTTTTCTCCTTATTGCTGGGACCCAGGGCCCTGGGCCTGGGGTCCCGCCCACTGCTGGTCTCGCTGGTTCCAGCCTCCCCATTGGGTTGGTCACTGGGTTCAGCTCTGTACTGAACCAGGAGTCTGGTGCAGCTGCCCTTCCCTGGTCTGACCTCTGCCCTCCCTGCCTGGAGAAGAGGCCCACCCTGGATTCCCCACCGAGGGCTTTGCCACATTCCAACTCCTTCACTGGCTCTCACCTCCTCACCTTAGCATTGGAGGTTTCTGAGGTCTCAATATAGTTCACGAGGCCTTTGAAATCACCCTTTTCTCTTCCTCCCCTGACCGACTCCTGGGGCAATGCACCCACCTTGTACCTTTCTGCCCCCTGCCTCTGTTCCGGTTCCTCATCCTCAGATCACTTCTTCTACCATCTCCTCCAGGAAGCCTGCTCTGATGTGCCCAGGCCCACTAAGTGTCTGCTATTGGCCGACACTCCAATACCTCTGAAATGCAGCTAGAGTTCAAATGCAGCTAGCACCCCAGGCAGAGCCCCTAACTCACCTGGAGACCAGTTGGCATGCCACTGCCTACAAAAGACCAGAGGCTGAGACAGGGGAGGGGCCACAAGGGCTGGGGTGGCGGCTGCCTGGCATAAACCAGCCACCTGTGGACTGCTGTGGAGCTCTGGAGCCACAACATGAACCCAGGACCCAGGAGTCCCAACTAGCTCTGTGGCCCACCCACGTTGGGGCTGCCAAGGGGCTGCTGGGGCCCAGCTGACCGAGGGACAGGGCGGGCCGCCGGGCTCAGGGCTCCATCTCCGACCTGGTGGGGCAGGGGAGTGGTCGAGGCCCGCGCTCCGAGTGTGTGTGTGTGTGTGTGTGTGTGTGTGTGTGTGTGTGTGTGTGAGAGAGAGAGAGAGAGAGAGAGAGAGAGAGAGAGAGAGCCCCGCGTGCGGACCGCCCTCCCTCCCTTCCCTCCACCTGGTCCGCTGCGTCCGGGTTTGCACACAGCGCAGCTAGAAAAGGTTACTTCGCTGGAAAGGTTCCGCGGGCACTGCAAGGTCCCCGCCGCCGCGCCAGGCCCCCTCGGCTTCCTTCTCTTGCCAGCCCGCAGCCTCTCGAGGCGGGGCACCCGCCCGCACTAGCTTCGCCCGGGAGCGGCCCTTCGCGAGGTGTCTCGGGTGCCCG